GCTCAGTATCCTTCCTGGCTCAGACGTGGTCACTTGTTGGAAGTTGTACAGACCCTGGAGGTGCAGACACCTCTGAGCTCAGGTGCATGCCAAGAACAAGGTCACTGGGCTCTGTGCCCATTTCTGCTTCACCCAAAGCCCAGCAAGTTCTCTACCGGGGCTCTCGGTGCCTCCAGCTCTGCACGTTGAGAGGCCACCGAGACGGGAGAGTAACACGTGGGGAGAGGCTGACACAGCGAAAGTTCAGTCACCTGGTTGAGGCCACAGAGGAGGGACCACAGCTGACTTGTTCCCCTGGCCTCGGCTGACTGGCTGAGGGAGCTGTGCCCCCAAAGATGGCCACCGACAGTGGGCCCAATGCCTGTGAGGCGCCCTGAGAAAGTCTGCCCACGAGGGGCGCTCCACAGTGAGGTGCGGCAAAGGGGCCCAGGCAGGGCCTCTGTCTTGTGTCTTCCCCTCACCAGGCCACTGAAGGGAAGGCAGCAGAAGACAGGTGCCTCGCTCTCAGGCTGAGCCCCAACGTCACTGAGCTTTTGCTCCAGTTCCCCACGATGCTGGGAGACACCCACAGCACCTGGCAATGCAAAGGGCGAGACGCGGGCAGTGGCTCTCAAACTTTTCTGCATAAAACCACCTCCTGGAGAGCTCAGAGAAGCATGGGTTCTTGGTTAGAGCCCCAGAAATGTTGCGTCAGGACTGGGGCAGGGCCTGGAAACCTGCGTGTTTAACAAGCTCCCAGGCGGTTCTGATCCTGGAGGAGGAGAGTGTGGGAGATGCGTGCGCGGGGCTCCAGGCTGGAGGACCTGCTCAGGCCCTGGAAGAAGGTGGCTCCTGTGCCCCAGAGGGTTCCTGACTGGGCTCCAAAGTCACAGCTATTACTCCCGGGAGAACACCAACTTCTTACCAGTAGCCTACCGACCCCAATTCTTTTACAAAGGGATTATCATCATTTGTGCCACTAAAAGCAAGGGGAGGAAAGAGCGAGCAGGCAGAAAAAACCCCGTAACATCATGATTCCACTGAGCTCTCGGGACTGCCCTTCCCCCTAACAGCAGAGTCACTCCCACCCCTACGGCAGCCAGGAACACCTAAGTGCCACTTCCTCCAAGGAGGCTGCCTGGGCCACTTCCGGCCTGGGCTGGAGCCCCTCCCCGCGGCCTTGCACAGCTGCCTTGTAGACTCCTCACCCTGTATCAGGAAAGGCTGTTCTCGGGGCTCTGACGCCCCTCTAGCCCGGGCTTCCTCAAGGGCGGGACCTCGTGTCACTGGTGCTGTGGGCACCGAGCCTGGCATCCTGCAAGCACTCAGTAGATGTTTGCCAACTGAGTAAAGGATGCCTTAGATCCCTGTGCGGGGCTTGGAGGGAGGGAGGCCCACATTCTGCTCCTCTCTTGCCCAATCCTGGCCCAGGGCCTGGGAAGTCCATGAAGCATCGCGAAGACATGGGGCAGAGACCCTGGGGCATGGCTAAACCAACCTGCCTGCCTCCTGCTTCCTGAGGGCAGGCCTGACTCCAAGCCACATGAATGACCTCACCGGGCCTTCGGGGGCCTCATGGGTAGGAAGTCCCCCAGTTCCAAGTGGCCCCCAGCCAGTCCTGATGTTCAAAACCAGGTTCCACACATGAGCTCCAAGAAGTGAGCTTTGCAATGTAATCTGAGAGCGCCCGGCCTAAGCTCAGAGCTGTCATCGCATTTTCTTCCCCTAATTAACAAAAGTCTCAGCGCAGGACGGACGGGACCGTGAGAGCCTGGGCCCTGGAAAACTGGGGCTCCACCCGAAGGAGGAATGCCGAGCTCCCAGGAAAGAAAAGCACTCAGCTTGGTTGTCTGCCTGGGCGGCTGGCACCGGGGCTTCGAGGGACCATCCCAGTGGACCAGCATCTCTGATGCTACGGTGAGCCTTGGGATGCTCGCCAGTTTAGGGGAATGGCTCACCTGTCAGCCGTCATCCATCAGATGCACCCGATTAGGTGGGGGGGGGGGGAGGGGGTAGGCAGAAAGTTTGGGGAACAGGGTCCTGTGGGCAGGGGGCACCAGAGAAAAGCCAACTGGGGACGGATTAATCATGGCAGGCTCCTAAGTCCTCATCATGTCCAGAGAGAAGTCGGGGACCCAGAGAAGACAGGGGACCTCTGCAAGGCCCCCAATGAATGAGCAGAGACTCCAAGTCCAGACCTGCCACCAATCACATCAGCTCGCCCCACCCCAGCAGGTACACAGGGTGCACTGTGCCTAACAAGCCTGCCAACTGGTTGCTATCAGCCGGCAGAAGAGCTAGCCCGGCCAGGCCCGAGACCACAGGCGGACAAATTGCCATGTTTTCTGACAGTTTTCTCCTCTCTCCACCTGGGCTCGGGCCCTCATCCCCCAAACACCTCCCTCCTCACACTGGCCCATCGTGGAAGGAGCAAAACAAGTATCAAACCACCTGAGCTCTGGGCAAGGGCTGGATGGATGAGCATCATTGCTCGCAGCTGCGGAGGGGCCGCTGCATGAACCCAGGAGTGCGGCCTGGCCAGCTCCCACCAGGATCCTGCCAAGGGAGGTGGGGGTTGGGGGGGAGCAGAGCAGCAGCCAAGGTTCCCCCAGGCGGGTCTTGAGGAGCCCAGAGCACGAAGGAGCGACACTGAGGAGCAGAAGGGAGGTGGATGCTGGAGTCCCTGAACCTACAGGCCGGGCCCAGCAGAGCCGGGCGCAGGGGGAGCCTGGACAGCCCCCCTCTGCACATCCCTCCTACTGCTCCTCCTGCTGCAGTCACCCAGCTCATGTGCTGCTCGGACCCTTGGGAACGAGTTTCCTATTAGGAAGGTAGGGTCAGGAGGCCAGGGAGATCGAGAATACACGACAGCCCCCACGAGCCCTCACTGCTGGCTCTGAACAGGCAGCTTTCAGACACTCGGCTCACACAACTGCTGCGGAAACGCGTTCCAGGCTGCAGCTGCATGAGGGTGCGCTGGCTGTCACCAGCTCTGTAGCACCAAGGACCCCACTCCTGTCACTCCGCTGTCCCCCAGTCTGCAGCCTGGCAGGGAGGGCTGACCGAGGCAGCTCTCCATTCCTCCAAAAACAGCCCTAAAAGCTGTGTGCGAGGAGCACTCACACGTCCACACGGCAGCCACTCCTGTCCAGGGGCTGAGCCAGGGAGCCCCCGCCTGCTCTCTCCCTGTGCCCCGGCCACAGTCACAAGACAAGGGGTCCACAGGTTCTTCACTCAACCCTTCTCAGGCAGAAGCAGCCCTTCGCGCTGTATCGTCCATGGAAGGGAACCAGGCGAGGCCCAGGGGGCTGGCGGAAGTTTTCACAGGTGGGGACAATGAGCCCAGAGCCCCACAGGGCGAACGATGACTGAGGTCACCCGGAGCCGGTGGTGAGGCCGGTGGTGAGGCGTCTCACAGGCAGGAAAGGCTGCTGGATTGAGAACTGAGCTCCAAGTCCCGGCAGGGGAGAGGGACGGTGTCTGCTCAGCCCCACCTGGCCTTGGCCTCTACCCCTCACAGGGCGGGTGTAAGTCCGAGGAGGTGAGAGCGGCAGCGGGCGGGCACCCATCGCACTCCCTGGGTGCCCCTCTACGGGACCAGGTGGCAGCCACATCCAAGGCCGCCGAGACCCTCAGCTTTTCTTCAAACTCCAGCCACGGGTTTGCCGTGTTAATTTGGAAAATATGTCTTGATATCAACGGGGCCCTAAGCCATCAGCCCCACTTCCATGCGAGGAGACCAGGTCTCAAGATGGGCAAGGCGGCAGGCATGGTGCCGGCAGCAAGTAAAGATAGAGACACTTTTGCTCCAGCACCGCGGGCAAGGGGCACGCTGCCCGCACCGTTCCCAGAGCCCTGTCTCTCCGTCTTCATAAACAGTACGAGCTCCTCAGGAGGTAGAGGGAGAAGAATATTCGACGGAGTAGTTCCCAGGTTTTCCACATTTCGCCTCTCCCCCCAGCTAGTAAACCTTCCCCAGTCGGGTCAGAAAGCCCACATCTACATCTATTTGCATACTCTTCACAGGAGTTCACATTTACAACTATTTGCAAACTCTTCACAGGGGTTCACATCTACATCTATTTGCAAACTCTTCACAGGAGTTCACATTTACAACTATTTGCAAACTCTTCACAGGAGTTCACATCTACATCTATTTGCAAACTCTTCACAGGAGTTCACATTTACAACTATTTGCAAACTCTTCACAGGAGTTCACATCTACATCTATTTGCATACTCTTCACAGGAGTTCACATTTACAACTATTTGCAAACTCTTCACAGGAGTTCACATCTACATCTATTTGCATACTCTTCACAGGAGTTCAGATTTACAACTATTTGCAAACTCTTCACAGGGGTTCACATCTACATCTATTTGCATACTCTTCACCGGTGTTCATGCAGACCTGCTTCTCATCCGGATTCCTAATCCCAGGAACGGGCGCCCAACTACCCCAATCAGAAGCCTCCCTGCCAGGCAGAGGGAGGAGGAGGCCTGACCCAGCCCCGCCAGCCTCTCCCCGGCCCCTCAGCCCCCTCCCCGCACAGCCATCTCTGGCCCTGCCTCCCGCTCTGTCCCGTCCTCAGCCGAAGGCAACTAGTCCGCAGTTTCTGTCACTGCATTTGCCCATCAGCGCAGCGCCCCGCGTTCCTTCTTTGACTCAACAGGCGGGCTGATTCCCTCCTGAGTAACTGCGGAGGCGCGGACGCCCTTGTTTTCCTCCTGGGTGTGGCCCGCCCGTGACTTCTCTCCCAGGCTCTGGGCCCTTACATGAAATCCAGGTCCCTCTCCCAGCGCAGCCGAAACAGAGGTGGGGATGAGCATGAGGAGGGCGAGGGGCACGGTCCCGCCCCCAGGGCATCCGAGCCGGGCCCGTGGGGGACTAGGCGTGCGGGCCACCTGGCTCCTGCCCTCCCTCGGGTCCCCGCGTCCCGGCTCCCCGGCGCCCCGCAGGCTCCTTCCGAACCTCCCAGGGCCTCCACCCCACCCTGACCCCTGCCCGCCAGGTCGGCTCACCCAGGCCGGCAGGTGCTGGCCCAGCAGCTCGCGGCTGATGAACTGGCGCTCGTTGTCGAGGAACTCGAAGGCGGCCGCCAGGCGCCCGAGCTTCCCGCGGCGGTTCCTGCGCCACCACAGCCACAGCAGCGCGCCGAGCAGCAGCCAGGTGATGCTGAGCCCCAGGTAGCCGGCCAGGTAGACGGGCGCCAGGTAGAACAGCACGCGCGCCAGGAAGCTGTAGAGCTCGGGCAGCAGCTGGCGGGCCAGGCGTGGCTCCGGGCCGGGCGCGCGCGGCGGTCCCTGGGCGCAGGGAGCATCGGGCGCGCGGGGGGCGCAGGGAGCATCGGGCGCGCGGGGGGCGCAGGGAGCATCCGGCGCGCGGGGGGCGCAGGGAGCATCGGGCGCGCGGGGGGCGCAGGGAGCATCGGGCGCGCCGGGGGCGCAGGGAGCATCGGGCGCGCCGGGGGCGCAGGGGTTCTCCGCGGACATCTCCCGGCCGCCGTCTTGCCTTTTCCGAAAGCTTCACTTGGGCTCAGGTCCGTGAGCGCCGACGCCCGGACACATCTGTCCTCCAGGCGCAGGAACCGGACTGCCAAGCCTCACCTGCCCTGCGGGACTGGCCGGCGCCGTCCGGGCGCTCGGAGCTCGCGGTTCCCGGCGGCGGCACTCGCGCGGGGCCTGGGAGTGCGCGCCTGGCAGCGCCTCTCGGCTCCCAGGCCGCCGCCGAGGATGGCTCCGCCTCCAGGGGCGGGTCCAGGCGGAGGGGGCGGGGTCGGGAGTTGGCCTGGGTGTAAAAATGATCCTTTTTTTTTTTTTTTTTGCAAGGGCTTCCTCCAACATCAACACCCCGCGCAGGCGTCAGAGGCGGGTGCAGTTGCAACACCCGATTAGAACACCCTGGGTGGACCAGGTGCTGCCCCGGGCAGTATATGACTCACCGAGACACGTGGACAAATGTCTTGTCATAGATAAACATCACCTAAGAGCTGTCTCCTACACCCCATCTATCCACTCTAGTGTAGACTCTTGGTTGGGCATTCCAGGGCCTCCCGGCCCAGCGCGGACCTGAGCTTGTGTCTGAGCCCTCCAAGTGGCCCCTAGGACCCTGCATCCCCTTTTCTAGCATCTATAAAGCTTAGACCTAGCCCCCAGCCCACCTGGCCGAGCTCAGGGACCCTCCTGTGACCACAACACCCTTATTAACTGATAAAAAGTTAATTTCCAAAATATATAAAGAACTCATACAATTCAACACCAGGAAGACAAACAATCCAATTTAAAAATGGGCAAAGGACCTGAATAGACACTTCTCCAAAGAGGACACATGATTGATGGCCAATCCTATATAATATCCTATATAATAAAGATGTAATATGCAAATGGTCATTACGCCATGACAGGTAATGACCGGATCATGGATCAGCAGGAGGGTGGGGCAGCGAGCTACAAGGGGCAGGGGAGAGCTACAGGAGGGGGCAGGGCAGCAAGCTATGAGGGGGGGTGGGGCAGCAGCAAGCTACTGAGCAGGGATTAGTGCGCAGGGTACTAGTGGACATATAAAAAAATGCGCAACATCACTAACCGTCAGAGAAATGCAAATTAAAACTACGATAAGGGTCTAGCCATTTTGCTCAGTGGATAGAGCGTTTGCCTGCAGATTGAAGGGTTGGGGTTCGATTCCAGTCAAGGGCATGTACCTCAGTTGCAGGCTCCTCCCCAGAGCGGACCCAGGTCGGGGCTCATGCAGGAGGCAACAATCAATGTGTTTTTCTCACATGGATATTTTTCTCTGTCTTTCCCTCTCTCTTCCACTCTCTCTAAAAATCAATGGAAAAATATCCTTGGGTGAGGATTACAAAAATAAAAATAAAATAAATAAAACAACAATGAAGTATCACTTCACGCCTGCCAGAATGGCTATGTCAATAAACCAACAACCAACAAGTGCTGGTAAGGATGTGGAAAAAAGAGAACGCTAGTGTATTGTTGGTGGGAATGCAGGCTGTGCAGCCACTGTGGAAAACAGTATGGACGTTCCTCAAAAAATTAAAAATGGAACTCCCATTTGACCCAGCAATCCCACTTCTAGGAATATATCCCAAGAATCCCAAAACACCAATCAGAAAGGATAGCCGCACCATATGCTCATAGCAGCATTATTACAATAGCTGAGATCTGGAAACAACCCAAGTGCTCATCAGTAGATGAGTGGATAAAAACGCTGTGGTGCCTTTCACAATGGAATACTATGCAGCTGTTAAAGAAAAGAAGGCGCTCTCACCCTTTGAAACAGCATGGATGGACCTGGAGACTATTATGCTAAGTGAAGTAAGCCAGTTAGAGAAAGACAAGTATCACATGATCTCACTTACATGTCAATCTAATGAACAAAATAAAATGACAAAATAGGGCCAGAAGTATAGATGCATGGAACAGAATAACAGATCTCAGTGGGGGTGGCGGGTGGGGAGGGAATAGGAAGAGATTACCCAAAAACATATATGCGTATGTGCATAACCCATGGACACAGACAATAGTATGGGGAAGGCCTGGGGCGGGGTGGGGGTTGGGTGGAGGGAGGTAAAGGGGAGAAAATGGGAGACTACTGTAATACTGTCAACAATCAAGAAAAAATTTTAAAAATGGTGTAGTCTGTAGTTGTTGGGTATAATATTTTATGTGCCATTTAGATCAAGAAGATTGATGGTATTGTTCAGAATTTCCACATCGTTTCACATTTTTTGGACTAGCTATTCTACAACTTACTAAGAACAGGGTTTGATTTGTCTGTCTTCTTTTAGTTCTGTCAAATATTGCTTCGTGTGTTTTAACGCAGAAATTGGGCGCATACACATTTATAGCATGTTTCCCTACTATTTCACCATTTATATAAAATGTCACTGCTGATCTCTGATAGTTCTCCTTGTCTTGACGTCTATTTTGCCAGATCTGAATATAATCACTCCAGCCTTTTGGTGCTTACTGTGTGTATGACAATATCTCTTTCCATCTTTTTATTTTCAACTCATCTGTGTTCTTATATTAAAGTGTCTCATATGCATAAAGTTGGGTATTTTTAAAACCTAGTCAGACCATTTCTGTCTTTAATTGTCATGTTTAATCCTCTTGTATTTAAGGTAGCAAGTGGCATATTGGGGTTTAACTCTGCTGTCTGCTCTTTGTTCCATCTGCTGTTTCCTTTTCCTCCTTCTACCATTAAAAAAATCAAGCAAAGGGAGGACCAACAATTCTTCCATCATAATTGGGGGTTTTAACACTTCTTCCTCAGTATAGGTAGACCTGGACATAAAATCAGCAAAGATTTAGAAAATCTGAGTGACACCATCACACTGACTTAAATGACACTTACAGGACTGTACCACAAATGGCCAACTCTACTTTTCAAGTGTACATGGTGCCCCATATGCTAAGCCATTAAAGTAAAAGGATTGAAATTATACAGAGTAAATCCTCCTACCACAGTGATATTGAATTAGAGCTCAATAATAAGATAACTAGAAAAACCTGAAATATTTGGAAATTAAAACACTTCTATCTACTCCATGGGTCCAAGAAAGAAAGAAAAAAAAACACAAGAAAAAATGGAAAATATTTTTCTAATGATAAAATACAACACATCACATTTTGTGAGATGCAGCTAAAGCAATGCTGAAAGGAAAAGTCCAGCTTTAAATGCTTATGTTAGAAAGAAGAAAAAGCTAAAGCCGATGATCGGTGTCTCTGATGGGGGAAATGAGACATTTTTAGGGGGCTAGCGATCTGAATCTGTGCCATGAACCTAATGCACATTCTTGTTAGCCTACAGACAATGGATTCAGGACCCACTCTAGAGCTCATGAGAACCTTATCATGAGATCTTTAACTGAATCATATTTCCGAAGATCCGAATTCCAAATAAAGTTGCATTCATAGGTTCTGGGGGTTAGGACTGGGGGTTATTTTTTGGGGGGCCACTATTCGACTCACTACACTTCTCTCCATAGAATCATAAGAAGTGGTTTGAGGGTTTCTGAGAAACATACACGTTTATTTGTAATTAGAAAAAAAAAAATCTACGTTCTGACAGCTTCCAGCATCACTGAGAGAGCCTTGTTTACATGATGCTACCAGCTCCATTTTCAGAGGAAACGCGTCCATCTTTCCTCTCTCACTGCATGTGTCGGGTGATCTGGATGGCAATGCTGAGTTCTATGAAGTTCCTCTCTGGGAGGTGACGGGCAGGGAAAGGAATGAACAGGTCACACTTCCTGTCAAACGTCTATCATCTACTTGAGATTAGGAGCTCTAAAAGAATGGGCTGGCACCTCTCGCTCCTCCAGGAACCACGCTGCCCCATCCCAAGTCTGGTCCCTCCCAGGGCCAGGGGTTCTCATCAACATTATGGGGGGAGGGGTGCAGGGCCTGGGCCTGCATCTCCTCCCCTTCACACGGTAACGGTAACGCATCAATGCCTCGGGGCCACCTCCCCTTGCCTCAGGGAGGAAAATTGTAAAGCTGTTGGAAACAAGATAGACCATGAAATCTGATCATCTGTGAAGTACCCTGTCACAAGTCAGAGTTCTGTTTGCTAAGCAACTGTAATGAAAACATTACACATTTTCATCAAGATAAAAACTAAAACCGCAATAGCTTTGAGCACCTACATATGGGAAAATACCCATCACAACCATGCCTGGTGGCATACCACACAGCCCACTAACCGCACTATTGACACAACACTTGGCCCCGTAGAAATGATGAATTAGACCTACCGAACCTCTGGCGAGAGCGATTTGGCGGTGTCTGTGGAGCAGGTTCCTGCAGCCACAGACGAGGGGGGCGTGCAGGCCAGTGTGCCTCAAACCTCAATGCCGCCCAGTCGCCCGGAGGGCTTGTTAGCCACAGATTGCTGCCCCCGCCCCAGTTTATGATTGGGCAGAATTTGCATTTTTTACAAGTTCCCAGGTGATGTGTAGCAGTGGTCCTGGGACCTCACCTGGAGAACCACTGGCCCAAACTGGGGCTTTGGAATCTGCCTGTTAATAGGCTCCATCTGTGATTGAGGCCCTCCCACAACGTGTTGTGAAATGCTGGCTGCCCAGCGAACAGGCCAGGGGGCCGGGACTGGGGTCTCCCGAGGTGGTCGCACAGGCCAGGGGGCCGGGACTGGGGTCTCCCGAGGTGGTCGCAGGGTGGGACGGTGCATGTATGTGGAGCCTGTCTGAAACTCCTTCCTGGGGCCCACGTTTCCTTGTATTGACCTGGGAAGCTTGAAGCAGATGGAGCCATCCAGCCCCAGAAGACAATTGAGATCAGCCGTGAGGGTTTGGCGTGTCCACAAGGAGCCAGCCTGGCCCGCGGGGAAGCTGAGACCCAGAGGGCTTCATCGCACCGTTTCTGAGAAGGCCTGCCCCTGTGTGAACCACTGCAGCCTATACTGTGAACGTGCTGCGGTCCAGACCCTGAGTCCCCAGGGTGCACGTTTATCTGGGTACAAGCAGACCTGGAGGGCAGGAAGCCCCAGAGCAGCGGTTCTCAACCTGTGGGCCGCGACCCCTTTGGCGGTTGAATGACCCTTTCACAGGGGTCGCCTAAGACCATCCTGCATATCAGATATTTACATGACGATTCATAACAGTAGCAACATTACAGTTATGAAGTAGCAACGAAAATAATTTTAAGGTTGGGTCACAACATGCGGAACTGTATTTAAAGGGGCAGA